TTTTTTTTTTTTTTTTTTTTTGAGACGGAGTTTCACTCATGTTACCCAGGCTGGAGTGCAATGGCGCGATCTCGGCTCACCGCAACCTCCGCCTCCTGGGTTCAGGCAATTCTCCTGCCTCAGCCTCCTGAGCAGCTGGGATTACAGGCACGCACCACCATGCCCAGCTAATTTTTTGTATTTTTAGTAGAGACGGGGTTTCACCATGTTGACCAAGATGGTCTCGATCTTTTGACCTCGTGATCCACCCGCCTCGGCCTCCCAAAGTGCTGGGATTACAGGCTTGAGCCACCGCGCCCGGCCTATAAATTTCCCTTTAAGCTTTAGGTATAATTGAGTCCTAAAAAAAATTTCCCTATAAGGTTTACTTTATTTATATTCTACAAATTTAAAATTTTGTGTTTTAATTTTCTTTCCATTTAAATATTTTCTAATTTCTTTTGTGAGTTCCTGTGTGACTCATGGGTTATTTAAAAGTTTGTTATTTAATTTTTTAATTTTTTTTTTTTTTTTTGAGACGGAGTTTCACTGTTGTTACCCAGGCTGGAGTGCAATGGCGCGATCTCGGCTCACCGCAACTTCCTCCTCCTGGGTTCAGGCAATTCTCCTGCCTCAACCTCCTGAGTAGCTGGGATTACAGGCACGTGCCACCATGCCCAGCTAATTTTTTGTAGTTTTAGTAGAGACGGGGTTTCACCATGTTGACCAGGATGGTCTTGATCTCTTGACCTCGTGATCCACCCGCCTCGGCCTCCCAAAGTGCTGGGATTACAGGCTTGAGCCACCGCGCCCGGCCTGTTATTTAATTTCTAAATGTATGGGGATTTTGTGCTGTTTTATACATTTTACTTTTACAGATGCTATAAACAGAAATATATATATTGCTATTATTTTTGCTTCAGACAGTTATCTTTTAGAATAATAAAAATATGAAATGAAGTATTTTCTATTTACCTTAATTTTTGCTATTTCAAAAGATCTTTATTTCATTGTGTAGATCCAAATTTCCATCTTGTGTCATTTACCTTCTCCTTAAAGAACTTCCTTTAACTTAAGTACAAGTCTGCTAGTAATGAATTCTCTTAGTTTTTCTTTATCTGGAAAAAGTTTTAAATTCACCTTCATTGTTAAAAGATAGTTTGCTAGATTCACTGGATTGCCAGGTTCGTTCATTTGTTCTCTCTCTCTCTTCATTTTAAGATGTTAATTTTCTTTTGAACATCTATGTAGTTTCTGACAAGGTTTTTTGCTATATTTTTTATCTTTGGTCTTCTGAATTTAATGTGTCTGCCTTTGAGATTTTTATCTTTGGCTTTCAGCAGTTTGAATACAATGTGTCCAGGCGGCAGGGGTGGGGGTGGTGTGCACATGTGTGCGTGAGATTCTTGAAGTTCTCTAAGCTTCCTCATCTGTGATTTGATATTTGTCATTATCTTTGGAAAATTCTCATTGATTATCTCTGAATATTTCTTCTGCACTGTTCGCTCTCTTTTTCTACTGGGATTCCAGTTACACACGTGTCAGATTGTCTGATATTGTTCCACATCTCTTAGATATTCTATACTCATTGTTTTTCACTCTTTGTTGTCTTTGTGTTTCAGTTTGGGTAATTTCTGTTGGCCTATATTCAAATTCATTCATTGTTCCTTATGCTGTGTCTAGTCTGATTATAAGCCCATCAAAGGCAAAATATCCATTACCACATTATTGTTGATTGATAGGTAGATCAATAGATAGACAGACATATATTTAGTATTTCTGTTTAACTCTTATAGTTTCCATCCCTCTGCTGAAACTCCCATTTGTTCATACATGTTGTCTACCCTTTCCAAAAATTTTTGTTTTAGAAAAGTTATAAAGATAATACAGAGAATTCTCATATACCCCTTATCCAGTTTTCAATATTTTTATTATTTTCCATCAGTATGGTAGATTTGCCACAACTTTGAACTAATATTGACACATTATTATTAACTAAAGTACAAACTTTATTTACTTTTCCTTAGTTTTTACTTAAGGTCATTTTTCTGTTCCAGGATCTCATCAGGATACATTTTATTTGGTTGTCATGTCTTTCTAGATGGTTACAGTTTCTCAGTTTTTCTTGTTTTTGATGACCTTGACAGTTTTGTAGAGAAATAGTTTTTTTGTGGAATGTGCCTAACTGTGGTTCCTATGATGTATTTATCACGACTCGCCTCTAGAGGAAATTGCTTTTCTGGCCCTGGGAGTGATAGGGTTTCTTGCCCTTCTCTCAGTGGCTCAAAGCTTTGGTTCTGTAAGAGAAAGGATCTGGGCAGGGTTTTGTGCCTTTCCCGAAGTATTGGCCACTGCTGTCCTCCAGGCCTGTACTACCAAAGGAGACTTTCTCCAGCTTCCCACCCTGCTCCCTGTCTTTCTGGTGAAGACCTGGTGGAGGTTTGTAGAAACGGGTCTGCAAGTGGATGTGAACACCCTATTTTGTCTCTGGCTCCCATGTGGTCTATAGCCTCATATTAGCTCACACTCAGCCTTTAGCAATTTGCTAAAATTTTTATCTGAATGTTTAACCTCCTTAATGGTGCTAGGCATCACTTCCTCCTATGATCTGCACAAATTGCCTAGTGCTTTCTCCCATTTTTCCCTAATTGCACCCATGTTTCCTTAGATTTCAGGCTATTTAATTGCTCTGTTACCGCAGCACTTTGATGATTTTGCAGTTTATCTAGCTTTTACTCATTTTGATGGTGGGTGCAACATTTATTATTGGATTTGCTGACAGGTTAAATGTGAAAGGTAAAGTAAAGAGAGAGAGAGATCAAGTATAATTCCTAAAATGTTGGCTAGAGCAACTCAGTAGATGGTGGTATCATTAACTGACATGAGAGAGAATGGGGAGGGGTAGCTCTGGCAGAAGAAATAGAGTGAAGAATTTGACGTTTGTTAAATTTGAAATGCAAGAAAACATCCCAGTGGAAATACCAAGTGGACAGTCAAGAGTTCAAGGCTGAGATCTAAATTTAGGAGTGTTCTATACATAGAACACATATAGATAAGTACATATGGATTCTTACATATAGATATCTACATAAAGGTAATTTAAGCCATGAAATTACTTGAGACCACCTTGGAAGTGGGTAGACAGAGAAAAGGAGTTTGGATCAGTACCCAAAGTCCAACTCTGGGAAGATCGAGCAGAGAAAAAATCAGGAAAGGAGACAAGAGGAACTGCCAATATGTAGGAAATATGGTCTCCTAGAAACCATGAGAGAAACAGTTCCAAGGAGGGAGGACTCATGCATCATGTCAATTACTTGACAACAGTAGTCTCGGTGAAGGGTTAGGGCAGGACCTCAGTTGGTGATGGCTGAAGAAATAATGTGAAATGAGGAAGTAAAAATAGTAACTATAGGCGGGGTGCGGTGGCTCACGCCTGTAATCCCAGCACCTTGGGAGGCCAAGGTGGGCAGATCACGAGGTAAGGAGATTGAGACCATCCTGGCCAGCAAGGTGAAACCTCATCTCTAATAAAAATACAAAAATTAGTTGGGTGAGGTGGTGCGTGCCTGTAATCCCAGCTACTCGGGCAGCTGAGGCAGGAGAATCACTTGAACCAGAGAGTCGGAGGTTGCAGTGAGCTGAGATTGTGCCACTGCACTCCTGCCTGGCAACAGAGCAAGACTCTATCTCCCCACCCACCCAAAAAAAAGTAACTATAAATAAGTCTTACCAAAAAATGGGTTGAAAAGAAACCAGAGAGGAGATATAGCTTTAAGGCAGTGTTTCTCAACCTTGGAAAATTGACATTCGGGGCCAGATGATTATTTGTTGTGGGGGCTGTCCTGTGCCTGATGGTTAGCAGCAACCCTGGCCATTACCCACTAGATGCATAGAACAAACTGCCTCCAGTTGTATCAGCCAAAAATGTTTCCAAATATTCTCTGGTGGAGCAATATTTCCCCCACTTGAGAAAGTTCAAGCTCCAGAGAAATATTTGAACTTAAGGTTTTGGAGCTAGTGAAGGCAAAGGATATGACCATGGGAATTGGGTGGCTGAAGTGAGATGGAGAAAAAAATCACTGAAAACGTGAAATCCAAGGAATTGAAAGATCAAGCCATAATCAGAAGATGAAAATAACAAAAAACAGTAGCAGGTAATATAGACTGGTGGCATGAACTTCAAAAAACTATCTTGAAAGCAAAGCGAGGAAGAATGTAAAATGTTAACTGATAGAATTCCAGTACAGATTTATTTTAGAGACATAGTGGTTTCACAGTTAGCAATCTATGAACAATTTTATGAAAATATTCCTAAATTTTATGTAGACAATTCAAAGTGAAGTGCAAAACAGCTAGGTGTTGACGTGTCATTTTTAACATTTTTTCCTCCTGCCAACCAGATACTGCTGTGCCTTGCTGCATTAAACTATAGTCCTTTATCCATAGCATCAGGTAGGAGGACAATGAGTAGGGATAAAAAGGCATACAGGTTGGTAGACTGGGTGAGACAAAAAAGTTCCTGCCTAATTGTTGACATATAAAGTAAATTGCCATTTATTTATATATATTTTTTTAAATTTTTTTTGAGACGGAGTTTCGCTCTTGTTACCCAGGCTGGAGTGCAATGGCGTGATCTCGGCTCACTGCAACCTCCGTCTCCTGGGTTCAGGCAATTCTCCTGCCTCAGCCTCCTGAGTAGCTGGGATTACAGGCACGTGCCACCATGCCCAGCTAATTTTTTGTAGTTTTAGTAGAGACGGGGTTTCACCCTGTTGACCAGGATGGTCTTGATCTCTTGACCTCATGATCCACCCGCCTCGGCCTCCCAAAGTGCTGGGATTACAGGCTTGAGCCACCGCGCCCGGCCTGTAAATTGCCATTTAAATGTATTTTATAATCTCTTCTGTTTAGTGACTATCATGCTTTATAGTGATATTTTGCCCAAGAAGCCATTTTTTAAGATCTGCTTCTTAAAAAGAAGATAGAATTATCTCTGTGATCCAACTGTTTTCTAAAACTTGCAGTCAGCCTCAAATATTCTGCGTTCTATATGTAGAATCATATTACATGGATATCTAATGTACTTTTTAAAAAAAGACTCAAGGACAAAAGAAAATTGCAAGCATGATGGAAAGTAAAGATGTACACAAAAGAATATTTCAGATTGAGTGGGAACATAAGAAAATGGAGATGGAAAGGGAAGATCTAAATCAGAAGGCTTGGGATATTCAGATGCTATTTTTTTCAAGAGATCGTCAAAAGGTAAGTTCTCCCTACTGCCCTTCATAGTTTTAATTTTATTCATTATTGTATTCATTCATTTAACCAGTATTATTAAGAGGCCTCTATGATATCAAGCATATTCTAAGCCAGGAGTGTTTTCTAATTTATTTGTGAGTTATTTTTCTTTCAGAAGTTTGCATTTTCTACATCTACTTCTTCATGACCCATTCAGTAGAATCATTTTACTTAGAGCTCACTAAGGATTTCCAGTCAAACCCAATGGTCCTTTTCCCAGTCATTACCATCCTTCAATTCTCTGTAGCATTTAACCATCTTAATTTCCCATTCCTTTGGCTTTCATCACCCTAAATTAATTTTTCTTCCAACATGTCATACCACTCTGCCTCTTTCACTGGATTCTCTTTTGCCTCTAACACTTCAATATAGCAGTTCTTCAAGATTTTTGCCCTAGCTATGTTTGTGTTTTTTTCCATTCCTCTCCCTGGATGATGTCCCCAATCACTTCTAAAAACTAATCTAAGTTCTGTGGATTCCAAGCCATGCCCACTTTGTATACTTTTCACCTCCTAGCAGCTTCTCTTCTTAGTTTGCTTTTTTATACATCCCAAATCTACTTTTCAAGATCTAGTTTAAATACCACCCACTCCTTCTTAAAACCTTTCTTGATTTCCCAAGCCTGGAGAAATTCCATCTCATCACAAACCACCTTTGAATTAGCACAACATTCTACATGTCTTCTGGCAGCCAATCATATCTATATGATCATTTTCCCATGAAGACTAGAACATGTTATTTATCTTTGTATCTCCCTCAGTGTCTTTAACTAGGACTTTGTTAGTGCGATGCTCAAGTAGAACAATTAAATGTTTGGTGAGTTGAATAAATGAATGAATGAATGAGAAAATAAACTAGGCATTTGTAATAATTTGTGCTTTGATGTAACAATTAGTGTATGTGAATGTATTGATGACTAAATACAAGGAAATATTATGGCACAAAAGCCAAATCGATCTTTCTTTTTTGAGATGGCATTTTGCTCTTTTTGCCCAGGCTGGAGTGCAATGGTATGATCTTGGCTCACTGTAACCTCCACCTCCCCGGTTCAAGCGATTCTCCTGCCTCAGCCTCCTGAGTAGCTGGGATTACAGGCATGCACCACCATATCCAGCTAATATTTTTATTTTTTAGCAGAGACGAGGCTTATTAGTCAGGCTGGTCTCAAACTCCTGACCTCAGGTGATCCACCCTCATCAGCCTCCCAAAGTGCTGGTATTACAGGCATGTGCCACAGCACCCGACCAAGCCAAATCAATCTTAACTTACATAGATACTTATTATGAAAAACAGTAACTTTCAAAACTAAAACAATCTTTATAAAGTTACCTATTGAAAGAAAGAAAAATATCCTTACTTTTTTTTTTTTTTTAATCTCAAAGTTCCTAAATGAACCAAACTATGAGGCTCTGATTAGTATTCAGATTGGAATAATGGAACAAACCATTGCTGTTTTAGATAAGGTAAGTCTCAAAGACATTGGTTATTATATCCTAACAGTTGTAAATTATTTGAGCAAAGTAGTAGTGTTTCAAATCATGAATTTACCTAGGTCCTAAGAAAATCTTGGTCATTTACTAGTACTTATGAGGTAATTAGAAGTCCCTAAGTAGTGTCTTTGCAGTCATACCTAATGAAATAGAATTAAGCACTTCCTTTAATATTAGAATTAACCCCTGGGGACCTATCTGAGTGTAAATTGATTTTCTATTTCACATTAGGTTAGGATTTATGTAATAGGAGTGTTGGTAGTCTTTGCTCGGCATTGGAAACATTTTATTTAATCATAACTGAATAAAAATGCATAGTTTTATTATGTAGCATATATTAGATAGAAACAAAGCAATCTCAAACTTTTAAAATATTCCCTCATTTTAAGAATTTATACGTTTTTTCTAAAAATTCGGTATTAATATACCATTTTATCTTTCAACAAACAACTTGAGTCCCTACTATGCCAGGCACTATGGATATGGCGGTAAGATGTTATCTTAATGATGATAATGTATTTAAAATATAAGAATAATGTTTTTATAGGATAACTTACATTTTTCAAAATTAATTTTGTGGGGTATCATGGAAACAAAAATTTCAGACCCACAAAAAGAATGTGGAAAACTGCAAGAAACTACTCAAAAAACTTGGAAAGTTCAGCAATCAAAAAGATATAGCAAATTATAACCTAAGCTGCAATCTACGAGAAGAGTTGGTAGCTGTCTCAGAGAGAAAAGACATCTGTAATGCAATGGGTAAGCATGTTTTGTTATTTTTCCTGACATCTATAATGCAATGGGTAACCATGTTTTATTTTTGTTTTTTTTTTCCCTGACATCTGTAATGCAATGGGTAAACATCTTTTTTTTCTTTAACTGTAGGTTTCTTTAAAAGTAATCAGTGGCCAGGCGTGGTGGCTCATGCCTGTAATCCCAGCAGTTTGGGGAGGCTGAGGCTGGTGGATCATGAGGTCAGGAGATCAAGACCATCCTGGCTAACACAGTGAAACCCTGTCTCTACCAAAAATACAAAAAAATTAGCTGGGCATGGTGGCACGCACCTGTAGTCCCAGCTACTTGGGATACAGGCAGGAGAATCACTTGAATCTGGGAGGCGGAGGTTACAATGAGCCGAGATGGTGCCACTGCAGTCCAGCCTGGGTGACAAAGTGAGACTGTGTCTCAAAAAAAAAGTAATCAATCCTAAAATCTATACAATAGTTAAAAAGCTACCACTATGTCTTTTCAAAAAATTGTTTAAAATAATGTCAACTTTTATTTTAGATTCAGAGTACATATACAAGTTTGTTACTTGGGTATATTGTGTGAGGCGAATGTGATAACCACTACCTACTTGGGTATATTGTGTGATGCTGAGGTTAGGGTATGGAATGATCTTGTTACACAAGTACTGAGCATGGTACCCGGTAATTTTTCAGCCTTTCCTCCCTCCCTGCCTCCTCCTTCTAGTAGTCCCCAGTGTTTTGGGATTTTTTTTGTTCGTTTTTTTGAGACAGGGTCTCCCTCTGTTGCCCACGCTGGAGTACAGTGGCATGATCTCAGCTCAGTGCACCCTCCACCTCCTGACTCATGTGACCCTGCCACCTCAGCCCCCCCAAGTACCTGGGACCACAGGCACCTCACCACCACACCTAATTTTTGTATTTTTTGTAGAGAGTGGGTTTTGCCACATTGGCCAGGCTGGTCTCGAACTCCTGAGGTCAAGTGATCTGTCCACCTCAGCTATCCAAAGTGCTGGGATTACAGGCATTAGCCACCACTCCTGACCTCCAAGTGTTTCCTGTTGCCATCTTTATGTCCATAAGTATCCACTGTTTAGCTGCCATTTATAAGTGAGAACATGTGGTATTCGGTTTTCTGTTCTGTATTAATTTGCTTAGGATAATGGCCTCTAGCTGCATTCATGCTGCTGCAAACGACATGACTTCATTCTTTTTTTAATGGCTGTGTCCCATGGTGTATATGTACCACATTTTCTTTACCCAGTCCACTGTTGGTGTACCTAGGGTGATTCTTTGTCTTTGCTATTGATAGTGCTGCAATGAACATACAAGTGCATATGCCTTTTTGTTACCAGCATTTCTTCTACATGCTTAACTGATTCTGAGTGCTGCTTCTGTATTTGAAAGTATTGATAAATAATCTAATTCCTTTCTTCATTTTTGGGATAGGGTCTAAACTGACTTGTGAAAAGATTGCCAAAGAACGGTATGAAAACATGATGCAACAGCAGAAGTTAACAAATATTTCAAAACAACAAGCTGAACAGATTTCAATACTACAGACTGAAGTTCAAAGATTAAGGATGAAAACATTTCCTGCTCTTGTTCAAATGTAAAAACACTGGCAGGAAAACACAAGACCAAATCAATCATTTAAAAAATCATTTCATTTGGGCAAAATGATTTCCTTTTCTTTTTTACTGGCAAATTGAAGTAGCATGTCCTCTTAGTTGCATGTTTTAGATTAAAAAAAAAAATGCTTAGTTTTAGCCTTAATTGTATACAAATTTTTGTCCTGCATGAATAAATGTGTAAAATACCATGAATTGTTTTTATTCAAGAATAAACAAGACGAGATCAGAAAGTATTCAAGATCTATTTTACTCATTTAATCTGAGTTGGATCAAAGATATTTTCATAGTTATAGTATAGAAAGCCTTAAAAAGAAATTCTTTGCCACACTAGCATTTCTAATTTTATAAAACTGTCAGAAAAGTTATGAGAATTATGGATTTTTATCTTTATGCTTTTGTTTCATTTTCTTCAGTAAGCATTTCTTTCATAATCAGAAAAAAATTAGGAGAATAGATTATTCCCTGCTTCACCAATGAGAACAAGATAAATTGTTAGCTTTTTCCAAGCCTTCTATCCTTTGTACATTACAACATATTTTAGAAGCATAATCTACATTTATTGCATGTTGTAATAGAATTCAATTTCGTGCTCTACCCAATAGGGTTTAACAAACAGAAAAATACTTTCTTATTTCCATGAAATAGTTTATCACTTTACCCGTGTAGATGCTGATAATTACGTAACGAGATGACTAACTGGTCAGAAAACTCCTTTGCCCTTCCATAGCCTGTGGACTGCTATATCGTTGGGATCATGGACAACAATCTCCAAATGATGTCAGTATCTCACTGTTCTGCAATTTGTGAACTCAACGTTAAGTTTAATCCTCAGTACCATATCCAATATACACTGATGTAGACAAAGTAAGAGAGCTATTATAAAATCTTCTATTTAGAAAAAAAAAATCTTTAGATGTAATTGATACCCACATAGTGATCTGTGCTGGATGGGGATGATACGCGAAATAATAGGACCAGCATTTTTATGACTCCCCTCCTTTTTACTAGACTGACTCCTGAAGTAGTCAGTTTGGCTTGTTCAGTAGGGAAGTGCTCATGGGTAACATTTCCTACATCTGGGGTCATTTAAAATTATCCCTGAGATGAGACTTGTGGGGACAGACCCCAGGATGGGGGTGCAAATACTTTAAACTTAAGATGGGATTGCTGGAAGTTCTGTCCTGTTGGCTTGTCAACCATAGATGTACTAGACTTGATTTTTTACAATCTTTCTGGCGACACAAACTTCATTTTCACCTAAGTGAGCTGTCTGGAGACTCCATTTGCCAGTAGTAAGTGCCACAAATTTCACTAGATTTCTCTGTGGATTCCCAGGTCTTAACATTTAACACTGGTTAGATTATAGGGAGGGGCTGGGCTGAAAAGTGGGGTGTACTTGAGGGGGGCTCAGAGGAATGCTAAACGAGTAGGGAAGTGCTTTTGAAAAAGCTAAGTAAAGCTGTGTTAACACTTAAAAGGACCCAAAAGCAGAAATCCAGAAAGCCCCTAGGAATGACTGGCAACTAAAACCAGGAAGCCTCTGATCCACAAAGTTCTTTCCTATCACCTCTGCCTTTCTCCGTAAGCACACCCACTGCCCTTAAGCATGCCAGCTCTGCTTCTTCCAGGTGTACACACAACAGCTCGTCACAAAAAGAGATGGGCTTTCTTTTCCTGAGCTAAATTCCAAATTCTCAGGGACCAGCCCAGCTTGGGTCCTATATCCATATATGGCCAAAATGATAGGTACAATTGTATAACTTGGCAGCAGAAACCTAATCCTGTGGAGGTGGGTTTATAAATAAGAAGTCTATGTTTAATCTATTTCACAGATGAAGCTAGAAAGGCAAACAAATGTGAATCTTACATGCCATGAAAACTTGATGTGGGTGGGAGATAAGGAATGTAGTTTTATAAGAAATAGATGGTTGTTTCACTAAATGAAAAATATGAGAAACAAATTGGAAGAGACAGGGAAGAATACAGTTTTGGACATATGAGTTTAATGACCTGCTAGATTTTTAGATGAAAATATGTGGTAAATGGATGGAAACAAGGTGCATAAACTTAGGAGAGAGGCAGAAATTTTTAAACTTTAGACATTCACCAGACTGGACAATTTTTGACATTTAAAATAAAACTTTTTGCCACAAAAAAACAAATGTATTAAAACTAGTTTCCAGAACTGCCCAAATAACTTTTTAAACATGATATAAATGTCAATTTTTCTTTGGCAATCTATCCAAAATACTAATTTTCCTTTTAGAACTTAGTTTATAATTTATATATTAGAGTGCCCTTAATTGATGTGTATCGGAATACCTTCCTCTGAGCCCTAATGGCTTCTATCTTCCTTTTAAAATGCATAATTATCTTTTAATTAAGTTGTCATTATCAAAGATATTCTGGAGCAAATATCAAGAATTAAACATCTATAAATTCTTCTTCACTTCTGTTATAGTGTAGCAATTTATCATCTAACCCATAGTGGTCTATCAATTGAGTAAGGCTTAGTTTCTTGTTCTCTTCAGACACAGCTGACAGCAACTCATAAAGCAACAGTTGGCTACATCTTCTCCACTTCTTTATTAACAACTGTAACTGAGATAGATCATTCTGAAACAGAAAAAAAAAACATGTATGTATGTCAATAACTAGTCATGCTAGTTCAACTTAAAGTTGTTAAATTAGTGGGATGTGCAGGTTTAAAGGCTAACATACATGGAGATGAATGGGAATTCTATCTAGGAAAAAGTAGGATGGTCATATGTAGAATGGTTATAATGCCACGCAAGTTCTAGGGCCATTTGTTGGTTCAAGCTCTGAGATATCCTTATGATAAGGGAAAAATCAAATCATTAAATAAGCCAAAACTATGTCAAGAAGCAACAATACAGGGAAAAATCTCTATTATAACCATACTTAAAAAAAAAAAATGACACTATACTGTACTTTCCACTCAATTTTGCTGTGGATCTAAAACTGCTCTTTAAAATTACAACATTCAATTTCAAAGTATTTTTTTTAGGCTAGGCGTGGGTGGCTCACATCTGTGATCCCAGCACTCTGGGAGGCCAAGGTGGGAGGACTGCTTGAGCCCAGGAGTTCAAGACTAGCCTGTGCAAAATAGCAAGACTCTATGTCTACAAAAAAAATTTTTTTTTTAGCCAGGTGTCACGGCACATGCCTATAGCCCCAGCTACTAGGGAGGCTGAGGCGAGAGGATCACTTGAGCCCAGGAGTTCAAGGCTGCAATAAGCTATGACTGCACCACTGGGCAACAGAGACCATGTCTCTAAAAAAAGTATAAATGAAGGAATGAATGAATAAATTTTTTCAACATTCAATAATTTTATTTTTTAAAAACTCTAAAAATTTAAGATAACAAATGAGATACTCTATCCCATCATTTATTCCACATAGTTGGGGGGAAATGAGCTATTGCATATATATGAATTTTTCAGGTAATAAAGGTTATCTCCTTCCAAGTTCTATTTAATTCAACCTATGTGAGTTGAAATCTAAGGCCTAATATACATTTGTTTTCTCAAATAAAATGGCTGAATCACATTAATTATTTTGGGGGGGGACACAAGATGATTACTAAAAATACTTTTATTGTACTCTACAGCTCATTTTTAGTTTTACTAATTCACTGTCAGCTTTCCCTTCTGTTCCCATCGTACTTTCATTTAACATTTAATACTTAAATTCCTGCAAGCTAGAAACTACAGAGAAAAGTTTAACTGCATATTAAATAAGAGCTGAGATTCTTTTAAAAGTTTTACCTGGTGTTTATGGGCCTTTTCTACTCTAAATCTGGAGTTGAATTAAAGTTGTTGGAAGCCAGGTTTTTGAAAGTTTGGCTTATTGCTTATTATGCTTTAAAAAAGGAAAAAAGCTCTTATTTTCTATTTTTGAAATTACTTCCCTGCAATTTATGTAAAAATAAAAATTATGCAATGGTCCTCAAATTCTTCTCACCTTTGATCTATACATTTTGACTAGTTTTAGCCTCCGAAGAAGGTCTTCTTTTTCCTGAACCTGCTTCACCAATTTGGCTTTTTCATCGCTTAATCTTTGTTTGGGAAGATTCTCATTCACAAACTCATTTTGGAGAGCACTGCATGACCCAGAATTAAGCGACTGAGATTCACAGACACTGAGATTCTTCAAAGTATTTTCTTCAACTTCACTGTCTATGTATTTAAAACTTTCTTGAAATTCCAAACAGTTTTCCTCTGTGGAAGATGCTGGTTTCCCTGAAAAGGTCTGATCATTTTCTTCATTCTCTACTTTAAGACGTTTCACCACATTGTAACAGGAATTAAATGAAGATCTTGATTTCCTTAATCTTTCTCTAAGTGTTGCACTCATAGGCTGTAAAGAGCATAAAACGTTAAAAATGTTAATCAAGAAGAACATTCTTGATGTAAATAAATCTACCAGAAATAAAGGCCTTACATTTCTATGCTAGACACCACTAGATGGCTTTCTGTCTCCATATCTAAAGAAGGCATCACAAAATGTCTTTAATTTCTGGAAACTCCATTTGTTTTATTCTCTTTTTACTTCAGCAAGATCAACACATTTCTAAAAGTGTTGAGAGGTTTTTCCAAGTAATCAAGCATTTGTTCAATAACAAGCACATGCCTGACAGTAATCCAGGTGCTTCAGAATTAAGAGTAAGGAAACGACCTAGACTCTGCCACTAAAGACCTTCATAATAATACTGCACAGATTCAAACTTTCTCAATTTGGAGTGTTGTAATAGCCTAATCTGAAACTAATTGAAATGAATTAATTCAAGAGGAAAACATGGTGGGAGGCTAGTGGGTATCATATATGTTAACTTAGAAGAAAAACATAAAATTATTTAATAAAACGTCTACTTGTTTAGGCTACACATTATGTTAATTAACAATCTTTAGTAGAATTTAAATCACCACTGCCACAATACCTAGAAACACAGAATGGATCCACTGGAAGAACAAAGATTTTCATACTTGTTTTCGTGAACTACTTGTATAGGGAGATGATGGAATTGCAGAGACCTGAGGAGTGTTAGGTAAAACCGCAGCTGAGTCTGATGGACTTTCCATCCTGAAAATGAAATCTTGGTTTTTCTCTAAAAAAGAAAAATTATAAAATGAAAAATCAAAACCACACCTCTCTATAGTGAATTTTTATCAGACTATTTTGTGTACAAAGCATCCGCAAGAAAGATACTTCTTCAAATTTCACTTTATAATTCATTCTTGTTCTTTTTGCAGTTTCCCATTTACCTTCCCACATAGGGACTACTAATTTTTTCATGACACATCAACCAGCTAGGATTTCATAGTCACGACTCTCCTTGTTTTCATCTACCAAAAAATAATCAAATTCTGCCTTGGGAGGAGGGGAAAATAACAGTTTTAGAAAATCAGGAATTCTTTATTATAACAGCTTCACAATTCAAGGAGATATAGCCAAAACCTTGACTCAAAAACAATAGGACCTGAATTCTACAAGCTGTGACTAAAACCCGTACTCTGCCGGCCCGAGGCAATAAAAACACAACGGAGATGCCTTTACGCCCATCTGCAGCCTTTTAGTTTAAGCAGGGAATAGGCACTGAAAAGGAGAGTGCACTGGAATTACTTCCTCCGACAGAGGCATAAACTTTTGCGGGGCAAACCAGAGGCGGGAGTCCCTCCTTTCCCCCACTGCAGAAAGCCCACTAGATCCCCGGAGACTCCAGGCATCAGGTTAGGTTCAGTTCCCCCGACCCGGAAAGGGAGCTCAACTCGACTGCACAGCAGACTCCCGAGGAAGCCCAGGTCTCAGGTAGCCCCATTCCCTTCAGAAGGATACCTCGCTCTGTCATCCCCAGCGAGAGCAAAAACCGCGCGCAGTAGCGGCCGTAAATCGATCCTGTAGCAGGGCGGGGCAATGCGAGAGGCGGAAAAGACGCGCAATTGGCCAGAATGACTGACGCGTGAGGCGCCGCTTTCACTCAGCGACTGAGAGCGGCGGGTCTGCGCGCGCGCCTCCGCCAGTGGGCGGGTAGGGAGGGGCTTGGCCACGCTATTGGCGGCCGAGACACGTGATTGGCAGAATTAACCAGCGCGCGCGGCTCTCCCCGCCCTGCGCCCGAGAGCAGCTGGACTGCGCGCGCGCGCGGCCGTGATCGGTAGCAGGGCTTAACGGGTGGGCGAGGCCGAGCTTCGGAACGACCAACCGATCCTGAGGGGGGCGCGCTTCTCTTCCTGGCTTCCCTTGCCTTTTTTTCAACCGCCTTCCGTCCTGCTCCCTTGTTTTTGTGCGTCTGTGAAGTGCGCCTGAAAGTGCGCCCCCCCCGCCAGCCGCCTCCATTCTCTGGCTCCCGTCAGTCTCCTCTCCCCGCTCACCGCAGAAAAGGCTTTTTCCTCAGACGTGGCGCGGCCGGAAGCTGCACGGCTGGCTGTCCGTTAGATTTACAGCTTGTGGACTCCCCAGAGGCAGAGACCACAAAAGAGCAGCGTTGGTTTCCAGCCTGTTGAGACTAAGACATATTAGAAATCTATCCGAGAGTCCCGGCACTTTAGCTGAGCTCATCGCTTTTTGGCTGCCGCAAACTCGGCGGTCGCGTCGCTAGTTTTTTTTTTGTAAACAAAAAACTTGTTTCTGTACCTCAGTATTCGGGCTCCTTAGGGTGACCTCAAATCTAAGGGAAAATTTAGCCCAAGGAAATTTGTTGTGGCGCAACACAGGAAGCAGAACAATCACTAAATGAGATTATGTCTGTCCAAAATTCAGATGTTTGAGACCGATAGGGCCCTTGCCGACCACCAGGCAGCAGCATCCTCAGTCTAGAAAATCTGCCCCCCCGCCTCCCCGCCCCCCGCCTCCTCGGCTTCCAGTGTGGCGAGTTTCTGTGGCTTCGCGACGACAAAGTTAATTAACTATGTTGGGTGGAGCACTGGGTTTAGGGAAAGAGTTGAGTAACTTCTGAGTCACGTGGAATTTGGGATTTTCCAGAGGCCTCTGTTTTCAGTCCTCTTATTGAATGGCCATTTTAAACACTTATATCGTCTCTTTACTATTAGTAACATCTGACAGTAGTGGCTTAGAAGTGGCCAGAAGGGAGTTACCTGAGTCTTAAGTAGTCAGCTATAATAAATACGGAGCCTGAGGACTACCAAAAGCCATGATTAGGGACATAGACGTTAGAGTCAGATTGTCTAGGTTCAGATGCTGGCACTATGCTTTGTATGCTTCTTAATGAGGTGATTCTGTGCCTCAGCTTCTTCATCTGTTGATAGGGGATTGGTGGATTAAATGAGAACTAGTAAGAGGCAACTACAACAAAGTTAGGTATCTAAGAAGCACTCGGTAGTTACTTTATATATGCAAGTGTATTCACCATTTCCTAATTGACTTAAAGGAGTGTAGCACCTTCACTTATCTTGCACGCCTTCATTTATCTCCCTCGCCAAAAAAAAAAAAAAAAAAAAAGCACTTCCTTTTTTTTTTTTTTTTTTTATAAGGAAGGGGGTTTCACTCATGTTACCCAGGCTGGAGTGCAATGGTGCGATCTCGGCTCACCGCAACCTCCGCCTCCTGGGTTCAGGCAATTCTCCTGCCTCAGCCTCCTGAGCAGCTGGGATTACAGGCACGCGCCACCATGCCCAGCTAATTTTTTGTATTTTTAGTAGAGGCGGGGTTTCACCATGTTGACCAGGATGGTCTCCATCTCTTGACCTCGTGGTCCACCCGCCTCGGCCTCCCAAAGTGCTGGGATTACAGGCTTGAGCCACCGCTCCCAGCAAAAGCACATATATTTTTAAAAGATGCTGTGATCTGTAAGATCCCACACAATTTAAACCATAAACAGCAGAAAATTTAGAGCCTCACATATAATTAATAATATATATTCCACTGCTAAGATTTTTTTAAATTACATAAATTAACCCCATGGAATTTACAAAATGGAAGACAGAACTCATGATTTTGTGATAAAGGTGTTACCTCACCAAGCTGCAGGTCTTAGTCTGTACATTTATTTCTCCCTTTACTCATCCATTGGCATCAGTTAATCTTAAAAAAAAACTGAATGATTTGCCCTGACACTAGAAGCACAATGCAGACTCTGCATATTCTTTATACCTTCGGGCATAAGGGCGAGTTGTTTTTATGAGTCGCTAAAATCAGCTGCTCCCATATCCTTTTATCATTACAACCTAAGCTTAGAGCTGTGTTTTTGCTGGCTGCATGAAGGAAAACATCTTGCCTTGCAGATGTTCTGACTTGCTTATTATGTGAACTGGTATCTTAAAATGGGATTGTTTGGCCAAATTTTCAAAGAACTTCAGAACAAATACTCAGAAAAACCTGTATTTCAGAAATGTGCATTTGTTGACCTACATCTCAGGCTTTCATCCATTGTTAGAACTGAATTATCTCCCTGTACGTAAGTTTTGTTTCACTTAATCTTTTCACATAACAAATTTAAACGCAATTTCCTCTCAGTTTCATGTTAGAGATCTGGAATATAGACCCTATACTTTTTTTTTTTTAATAGCCCCTGTACTTTTAATTGTACCTTTAGATAAAGCATAGCATACATTTCCATGTCTTAGACTTTGACATAAGACATTTCCAGTCTTAGTTCCATGTAATAGAACTTGAAATCTATTAGCCTGTGAAGACTTTGGTGTTTCTCACACCGGACATTTTATGTTTCATATGAAAGTTTTCAGGCAGGAAAAATACTGGCCCAGCGATCCAGGAAGCAAAGACACCTTACCCTACCATAGAGAACAATTTAAGCAATAGAATCCAATAATAGTAATTAATATCAACTTAAGTCAAGCTTTCCATGTGTTTTAAAATTTCTTCAGTACCCAAGGCTACTGCTGGCTACTTTGTTACTCATCAGGGAGTGGTAAAATGCTTCGTTCTTGTCTGTAATTATTGTTGGTGGGATGATGATATAGACCTAAAATCCTTATGAGGTTTTTTTAAAATTCTTTTCTAGTGGCAAGAATAGTGAATAGTCTCTGATCTCAGTCTCTTTCTACCTACACACACATGCACACACACACACCTACCTTTTAGCCACAATTAAAATTTTCATTTTATTTTTTAAATTCTCAACTTTAGTATTATTTTAAAAACTTAACAATAATCTCAAGGTGACCTAAATTATATTCCCATAGACTTTTCTTTATTGACAAAAATGTTTGTGTCATGTGGACATAACTAGTATCCACAGATTTTTTTAAAGAAACAAAGAAACAAATATACCCTTCTGAAACTAGGATTAAAATCCACTTGGGTGAGGAATTGTGTAAAATTCACATGATTCAGTTGATATATAATATTTATTAGGACAAATTAAGCAAACAATTTAACACAAATTTATAACACAAATTAATGCAAATTTATAACACAAGAAAATCTGCCAAATTCTCTTAGCTGACTTTCAACACTTCTTAACGACATTTGTCCCTAAGTTGAAAATGCCCTTAAAAAACTTTTCTCTGGGTTTCTCTTACCATGAATTCAAATTGCATATTATAGACCCGTCCATGCTAAGGTGATGTTTTAGTGCTCTGCAATTTCATAAATTTCCCTTTGAGAATAATTGACAAATATTTCTATTTTTTTCTCTATTACCTAAAAGATCTCATATGGAATTCCATAATGTGCAATGGCTGCACTTGCAGAGACTTTGTTACCAAACAATGACTTTATGGGTTAACTATGTAGTATTCTTTAGCCGAGATATGCAAGAGAGGGTTTTATTTTCAACTTCAAGATAAACGGGCCCTTGACATAGCTGTTAGGCATGCCAGAGAGATTGCCCCACTGAATAGAATGGTTACTTAGAACATGGAGATACAGGGAAGATCAGTATTATCAGCACAGTGAAACCTTTCCATTACCAGGCAGCTAGAAAATGTATCTGATAACAAATATTCAGGACAATGTACTAAACAAGAACCTAAAAAGTTCCCTTCACCTGAATTTCCTGTCCTTTTATTTTCCCTGATCTGGCATTTTGTCAAATCCATTAGAGACTAGAGAGGCAATAATGTCTATGATTCACTGTTATTACTGGGTGTGTTCCCTTGGAGAAGAATAGAGTGATTCAGGTTAGATTAATAATGGTGAGGGAGAAGGTAGGGCAAGTGGGTGGAGGGGGAGGGATAGTGAAATAGGAGTTAGATTCTTAAAAGGTAATGGGAATAAAAGTACTGCTCAGGGCCACATTCTTCTCAGATTCTTTATTAACTCAGAAATGTCGCCCCTGCATTTATTTGGAGAAAAAAAAAGCATTAGATGTCAGCAAATCCTTAAGCAAGAGAATATGTCTTTTAATCATCTTTAACCACCTTGAAGTTTGAGAAAACAACCCCCAAGATAATTTCACAGTATTGAAATCTGTTTAAAGTGCCGACAAACAAGTCAGCTCAGTTTTTTTACTCTTGCCTTTCATTACTGTTTCAGTCTTGAGAGTATAAAAGATTTCTTCTTGGTGATGTTTTTCAGATGGGGGAGCAAGGGTGTCTAATGATGCCAGGCATATAAGGAATTAAGAGAACACATTTTAGGATACTACTGAGAAAATCTGTGAATTTAGCCTATCCAGAAATTTTTTGGCTCACTTAAGGAGCTGAGAGTTAGAATGAAATTTAATCCCTTTCCCACCACTCAACCAGTCAGGAGAAAACACTAAGTCTCCACTCCCAAAGGCAAGGTGACATTACATTAACACCATCAACCTTTAGGAGCAGCATCAAAGCTGCTGAATGCAGAGCCCTGACCAGGACATCTGAAGTCTCAGTGAGGACCAGGTAGAGAGAGATGATCAAAGATGGGGGAGGTGGCTTGAGCAAAGGCACCTCTTCATGGATCCTCTCTCTTCCACCTCCAAGATTGTGTCGAGAGCTCATATCCCCCATACTGTGTGTGAATTATACCACTTGTTAGTGACAGCAATATCACTCAGCCCTCTACCTCCATGATACATCTGTGGCTACCAATAAATAATGTGTAAAGTTTAATGATGATGTTGGTGATCCTCAATTGGCAAATGATATTATTACTTTTCGATACTAAAAATATGTCTTTCTTACAGTTAGGATATTGTGAAAGAAGTATGAGATAAAAAATCATTCACTCTGACATAGTCCTTTAAGATTTCACCCAGCTATTTAGGCTTTATTAGCACAAGATTAAGACAGATAATACTTTTCCTTCAGCAACATAAACTTTTAACTCAAACCTTTCTAAACTGTTTGACCCCACAAAGTTTCCCCTTATGTTCCACTCTGGTTGCTATATCATCTATCAAGCAGCTATTTTTCACTTGATTTAAGTATCTACCTCTGAGTTAAGTTGTCCTCTTCTTACAGCCGCCTTCAAATCTTTTATTATTATTGTAATCAAGAGAAGGGTTATTTAAACAGTTGTTCCCCAACACTCTCTGCTACATGGGAATGATGGCTTAATCCATCTCCATTTTGCTGTTTACTCTCTTTCTTCTGCTCTGGTATGACATGAATCTACACCCTTCTGTGAATGCTGGATATTGAAAACACACTTCTATGTTGCTGAAGGTCTGATGTGAAGG